TGGGCAAATGCTGTTCCCGAGTCGATCGAGTAGCAGAGTGGAGCGGACAATGTTGCGCAGACGCACAGAAGCAACAAACAGCCTGCCGCTGAAGCTGAAGCTGACGCTGACGCTGATGCCCGAGATGCTGCCACATTTCACTTGGTCCCCGTACCGATGATTGAAATTCTAAGACCAGGGACTGGTACTCCTCATTCTCTGGGACGGTGACGGTGACGGTGACGGTGACGGTGACGCGGAGACCGATTCGAAGACCAAGTCAAAGTCAAAGTCAAAGTCGAAGAGCAAGTCCAAGACCAAAGTTGTTTGAGGTTGAGTTGACCTTTTCGCATGAGAATCATCGATGATGGATGCACTGCCAGGCCAACTTGATCTGGACCTCAGAAAGAGATAGATAGAGGCAGTCTTGGTTGGAAAAAAGAGACAGCTTTAGCTGTCAGTACGTGCAAGCACCGTCATGGGGCAATTTAAGTGGAAGGAAAGTTTGTTTGTAGTACTCGTATTCTTCGTCTTCTATTTTTTGGGCCTTGCATACACATCTACACACATTCCCATCGATCGCCTGTCATGCCACAGTACAGTGGTAGCCCAGAATAGTGAACTATAGCTAATAATGAGCATCAGAAATGCACACATTCCAATTGGTGGACTGTCAAAGGGCAGTGGTAGTAATACTGAGCAATCTGCGTTTCCATTGAGTGCCCACTGTATGCACCACGCGACAGATAATTGCGATCACCTAGGTAGATTGAGAACGGGAGAGGGAAGGCAAAGGCAAGCCTGGAATCGAACTTCGTCAATGCTGTTCGTCGTCGTCGTTGTCGTCGTCTTCGTTGTCGTAGTCGTTCCATCGTGGAATTTCACAGCAGAGCATGGAAATTTGTTCGATACCTTGTTGTCCTCTCCTCTCACCTGGGCTCCCCTCCCTGCTCAGCTACACTACGCTCTTCTGTCTTTCTACTGTTTGCACTTCCCTTCCCGATCACCTGATCAATCTTCCCTTTGCATTCTCTTTCCCTCGCACTGCTCGTACCCCATCGGTTTCTGTGTTTGTTTGATTTGGATTTGATTTGATTTCGCCAGCAACAGTTCTTCCTTCTTCTTCTGTTCCTCTCTGCTCCTCTCTGTTTATCTCCCCCTCCACCAGCCACCAGTGGCTTATTCAAATGCTCTCTGCACAGTTTCTTGACCTTTTCGCGTGCCGTGTGACGTGGACGCAGTCGTCGTCGCCGTCGCCGTCTACAATTGTAACTGCACATGCGCGCGCCTTGTTCCTCTGCTTCCTCTATTCCTTCTGCTACCTCTGTTCCGTTCCCGTTGCTGCTCTTCCACCGCCCCCAAATTGGCAATTTTGCTGCTTTGGCAGCGCGTCCTTTCCTTCTCGCTCTCGCTCTCGCTGCCGAAGCTGCTGCTGTTGTTGCTGCTGCGGGAAATGCGATTGACGGTAATTGGTTGACGTTTGTCTTATTTAAATTTGTTTTCTTTGGGATTTTTTCCCCTACGTCGCTGCCGCTGCCGCTGCTGATTCTACTCCCGCTTGGCTCTTGCACGCTCTCATGACTGATGCCCTACCCAAAACTAAGCATACAGATTTTTATAGGCTGGCTGGAAAGGAGATTAATCTGAGTTTCACATATGATACTAATTTTACAGAAATTTAACGATTGCCTGTTAACGATTAATAATTCCATTTACATTCTCACTGCTCCCTAGTGTAGCGCATCTAGTAATCGTTGTGGCTGCCAGAGTTCTTTCGGCTATTCTCGTTTCCTTTATGGACTCTTCTCCCGAGCTGCTGCTGCTCTCTGCTCTCGTCTGCAGTCCGTGGAGCGAGCGGCGTGCAGCTTTAATTGAAATGAAATGAGTTTCGTCGATTTGTGTTCTAGGAATTTGTTTTTTGATTGTTTTCTTGTAAATTTGAATGATTATCGAGGCAGTTGCAGCAGTTGTTTCTTCTGCAGTTGTTCCTGTTGCTGTGTTTGCAGCAGTTGCGCAATTGCCGCCGAAGAGAAGTAAACCAAACAAGTCGTTAAAGCACCCCCCCTCCCGCGCTCGTAATTGCAGATCAGATGGATCAAAGACCCCTACACACAGAAAAGACACATCATTGCAGGTACTATGTGTGAGTACAGTACGTCAAGAAAGTGTTGTACATATAATTTAGTATACTTACTGGACACACTGTACAGATAAACACGTGTAATTTGTTTGTGAAACTTATAGAGATGTCTCTTTTTCTCAATATCCTCCTCTATAGACTGCGTAATTGAGCGGCGGGAACTTTTAATTGCATGGCGGAAGCGTTTTCGAACTGGGCCACGATTTACCCAGAATCAAAAGAAGACAAAGATTAAGAGAAGCCGAACGCTGCAGCAGAATGGAAGGCAATTTGTTACCGCTATACCGATATCGCCACGCATCCCGTATATCGCGATAAAGCTGCACGCTAAACGAAGCCACTTCCTCAAAATAAACATTCGCTGGAGCACAGAAAGAGAGGGGAAACAGAAGAATAGCGAAGAGCAGCATGCAAGAGAGACAGAGAAAACACAGAGTCCATAGCTCTGGCAAGATTGAAACCGAAACTGATGCGTAGTTTAGGGCGATTTACACACAGTTTAAACAGACATCCAGATACAAATCGCCCAGAAGAGATCTTTCACAGGAGTGTTGGTATGGGGCAGCTGCTTGGATGCCGGTCCGGGGCCAGATGCAGTCTTCCTGGTGCCATAACTGTAGCAAATGGCTGGGCAACATGCAGGTCTCTTCCCGTCAGAGCCTCAGACAGAACCCGAGACTCTGTGGGACCCAAAGGTCTATGGCGTAGGCGTCTGTTGTTGTTATAAATTGCACATTTGATGAGCAGAGAATCGTTTATGGGTTGGTTTTGTTCTCCCTGCCCCACACCCTCCCCGACGGACCCCAGGCCCACAGCTGTGCGAGGCGATCCACACTGTGTAGAGTTTTCTCTCTGTCCTCTGGTGTCCCTCTCCCCGGTTGCATGCGGCTGATTAATTGTGGCAACGTCATAAACGTGATGATATCGCAATGTAAGCGCATTTTTCATGTTATTCAATTCGTTGCCCCCAGCTCCAGCTCCAGCTCCAGATACAGTTCCTGCCACAGACACAGGCACAGCCCCAGCACCAGCATCAGCAAAAGCCCCAGCACCAGCATCGAATGGAGACTACAATGTATTTGCATATAGCATTACGAAAGATTTGAACAACGAACTCGCCTGCCGGAGTGGAGTCTCTCGATATTGCAACTAATTACGAGTATTAACGCAATTTGGTCTTCATAAAACATTCGGTTCCGCATTGCCACCATCCCAACAACCCCAACCCCTACCCCGGGCAATTGAGATTTAATTTGATTCTTTGCCCAAACCCGGACAGGTGTCTATGAGGCAGGTGTTTCGCCTCATTGTCTCGGCCAGGAAGCATTTGGCATGCGTTCATTTATTTAAACTGATTTCGTTTTTCTCTCTCCTTCGCTCTCCTTCGGATTTCCTTTTATTTTTAGAAAACTGCGCAATTTTCATTGATTTTGGTCAGACCGGGTCTGCTTTTTGTTGCTCAGATCGTTTACGACTTGGTACAAACAACAATAAGTAATATACAGAGTTATGTGTGATCACATCGTACAATATATTATAGAATTTCGTGTCGGGAATTTATAATTTCCATTCGCTTAGATTCTTTGAGCGGCAGGCACGTTTTGTAACCGAAAATCCATTTGATTTCAAATATTTATGGAAACTCCTATCGCTTTTTTTTTTGGTGCGTTGTAAAGGTCTACCACCTATGAGTGAGTAGGGGGCGATAATTCTGTTGAAGAGGTTTCTATGGTTTGAAAAATAGATCCCAATGGGGTTTAATAGGTTCCTGTTTATAAGATATTCTTCAAAATCGGTTGAAGATACTATCTACCCCTTTTCTTCCTTTTTCACCTTCTGTGAGCTTTCCGTAATCCCCTTTATAGCTCTTCAAATTAGATTCCAATGGGGTTTAACAGGTTCCTGTTTATAAGATATTCTTCAAAATCGGTTGAAGATACTACCTACCCTTTTTCTTCCTTTTTCACCTTTTGTAAGCATTCCGCAATTCCCTTTATAGCTCTTTAAACTTGTTTTCAGCTCTTTGCACACTCTTTGAGCACCGTTTACATTGTTTTTCCATCGGTAAATGATAGAAATTCCCCCTCGTAATCGTTTTCACCTGCTGCTTGGGTCGCACACTTATGGTCCGATCTGGTAATTGTCGACTCGAATGCATTTCCAGACCATTTACCTTTCATTGGGGATAGTTTCGCCCGCCCACACGCCCAAATGGGCTTTGCATATACATTTATTTATCTGAGACATTTATTTAGACACAAATACAAGTTATATTTCTATAGTATATTGTATAGTATATGGTATGTATGGATACGCTCTATTTGTAGGCCATATAAGCTGCTGTTTGAATACAACTAAAATGTACAGACTAAACGACTAAGACAATGCGTTTTGCGATTTGCGATTTGCCAGCAGAGTGTGTGGTAAAAAGATGAAACTAATTGCTAAACGAGAGCTATTCGATTATATGTAATTGTGGATTGCATTCGATCAACAGTTTGCACAACATCTAAATTATGAGGAGGAAATCGATTGCATTAACTTATAAATTCATTTTAGCTACATTTTAGGTGTGTGTTTGTTTTTTTCCACTAAATGATTACACGGTTATAATCGTAATCGTAATATTTCTTACTTTTTAGTTACACATTGACATTGCCATTCGGTTTTATACACATTTATATATCTATATATATATATACTCGTATATATAGTATGTTTAATCTTTATTTTGTGGCTTTTTTTTGTGAAATTTTCTTGTGTTTTTTTCTCGTATTTGACTGATTCGCATGAATGGCTTTTCCATAAAATTAATAAAATTGGTTTTCCAAGTAATTATTAAATTAAACATAAAATTAAAATCACAATTTTATAGACTTGATGTGTGGGTGTGTGTGTGTGTGTGCGGTGTGTATATTGTTGCTGTGTGTTCTGTCAGCGTTTCTATACGATTCTTCCTTCAAACTCTCCTTTCAGGGGCTTCCTTCAATCATTCATTTAATCGTTTCTATTCCATTTAGATATATTCTTGTTGAATATTTCATTGGAACTTCGGTCGTTCTTGGGGCATAGCAGGGAAAGGCACAATTCAATGTTAATTAAAAATTGCTGCTGCAAGCTATTTAAATTGGTGAAAGCTGCCACAGAGAGAGAGAGAGAGAGAGGTAGAGAGAAATATTAGTTTTCCCAGTTTAATATTTGTTTAATTCAAGTCTCTAGTTTTTGCACGAATTTAATAAGGAAAAAAACAATCAAAACGCAGCACGATTTGCATTGCCACGCCTCCCCAGCAGCCGCCCACCCGTTTGGCACCCACCTGCAGGAACACACACAGCGTTCCAAATGTTTGTAGTTTTCCATCTTATTGTTGGTTGGTTGGGTTGTATTTTGTAGATCTCTCTGTTGTTGGGGGTCGATGGCAGCTAGAAACGAGTTGGTAACGAATCATCATCATTAACATCATCTTCTGCTACTTCCTCATCATCCTCATCATCGTCATCATCTTTAGCTACTTCTACATCATCATCATCATCATCATCATCTTCACCGACAACATCTTAAAGATACAACGTCGCCTGCTGCCTCTGATCGAAATGATGTATATAGAGCTTCTTCTTGGACTTCTCTTTGGATGGCCGCAAGTCCCACACCAGATTCGACAGGCTCCTGGGCCGTGACAAGCGTCGCGTCTTCTTCTCCGGCAGCTTGTTCGAATCGCCCGATGTCCGGCCGCCGCTACGCGACGAGTCCAGCGTCCCCTCGCGCGGATTGTGATGGTTATTGCTGCTGGAGCTGCGGCTGTGCGGATGTGGCATCCCCAAAGCCGTGCCCGGTGCCCCCGACGACAGATAGCCGTGCGCATTGAGGATGCTGCCGCACTTGAGCACCACATCGGGTGGTGTGCCGGGCGATGCGTTCGATGCCGGTACTGCCGCTGCCTTGCCATGGGCTGAGATCGTCGGCGGCGTCATGGGTGTATTATTGTTGTCCGGCGTCAACTGCAGGCTGCTGAGGCTCTTGTACCTACGGAGAGGAATGGATAGATTTCTTGTCTCCCTCGGGGATGTCTGGGATGGTAAAAGCGCATCCTTACCTGATGTGAAACAGCGGCGATTGCGGTTCCAGCGCCTCCTTGGCTGGCAAATGATTGTTGGGCGTCAGCACCTTGCCGTGATGGGGATGCGGATGGGGATGCGCGTGCGGATGGGAGCTGTGCGAGTGGTTGTGCAAGGAGCCATGATGATGGGCAGCTGCCACCGCAGCAGCAGCCGCATTGGCCACAGCATTTGCCGTATTTCCATTAGGGGTCGTCGGCTGTTGTTGCATCTGCAACTGTTGCTGCTGCTGTTGCAGCTGCTGCGGATGGTTGTGACTGTGACTGTGACTATGGCTGTGACTGTGACTGTGAGTGGTGGCGCTGCCGGTGCCGGTGCCGGTGCCCGTGGAGTTGCCGTTGCTGCTGCTCCCGGCACTGTGGGCATTGGCATTCTTGATGTAAAGCTTTGGTAGAGTGGGACGCTGACGCTTCTCCGCCGGCTTCTTGCCGGGTATCGTCTCAATCGGCGGCGGCACCGGCTTTATGTCCTCCTGTATATGGCTGTGGTGATAATGATTCACCATGTGATGGCCATGGCCATGCTGATGCGGATGAGGATGTGGATGCTGGTGCTGATGGGGATGCTGGTGGTGGCCGTTGCCTCCGTTGGCTCCATTGCTGCTGCTATGCTTGTTCGACTCCAGGCTGCTGTAGTTGTTGTTGGCGGAGGAGGAGGCGGCTTGCTGACTCGACTGCTGATGGGGTATGGGGGCACGGATGAGGCTGCAGTAGTTGCCGCTGCCGCTGTCCGTGTGGTGCGACTTGAGTGTGGGCGACTCGCAGATGGGCTCGAAGCGCGCCAGGCCCTTGGAGAGGGGCGTCAGGCCCCGCACATAGTCGTAGATGTGATCGATCTCGTTGTACTCCTCGGCGATCTCGCTGTTCAACGCCTGCTGGTGCTGCTTGGACCAGGAGTCACAGCTGGCGCTCTTGCGCAGCACATAGCCGCTCTCCGCCAGTCCGCTGGCCATGCCCGCGGCCGAGGGCAGCATCACCACCGGCAGCCGATTGCCGCTGCCGTTCCGACTGTGGAACTTGGAGTCCTTCTTCTCCTTCTCGCTCAGCTTGAGATCGACGATCTGCAGGCGATCGCGCGCATCCGCCAACAGGCGCTGGGCCTTTTCCAGGAAGCGCGTGTACTCGATAAAGTGCTCCAGCTGCTCCATGTTCTTGACCCGCTGCAGCTTGATCTTGGCGTTCAGCGGCACTGGCACCAGATCGGTGTCCTTCTGCAGGGGCAGGGCAAAGATCCGATCGATTTCCACGCATCCCAGCAGCCGAAGTTCGGGGACAAAGGGCTGCTTCAGTCCCTTGGGGGCACTGCCATGGACGAGTCTGTGTGTGTTTGGGGTCAAGGATTATAGTAGAGATCCTATGGGGAAGGGAAACCTGGAAACCATTTACTCACCTCACAATGACTGGCATCCGCTTGAGGAGCAGATTCTTGACGGTGTGCACACCGCTGATGCTGTCCTCGCGCGCTATGGCCGAGAACTTGGCTTTGGTATCGAGTGGCAGATTGATGATCTCGTCCTTGATGTTGCGGCACTGCAGGTACTTGCCGTTGTCGTTCATCGTGGTCAGCAGCTCGCCCGCGTGGATGGTGCGGTTCATCTGCTGGCAGCGGAACGTCTCCCGCACAAGGACGCGGGCATTGCGGCGACGCGACAGCTCGAGGACCGAGTCGATGCAGCGCGTCGAGCGGCCATCCTCGCTGAGCAGCTCAAAGTAGCCGCCATAGGTCTCCGGGATGAGCACCTTGGCCCCCACATTGGTGGGCTTGCGACCCTCCTTGATCTTGATGGGTTGGGCGAGGATCTGGTACTTCTTGCCGGCGCTCAGGAACAGCGCCGTGCTCTGCAGCGAGGGGGCCGAGAGCGTGGGCACGCCGAGGGCCTGGTGCTGGCCCTTGAGGATCTTGGCCACCGCCGGCAGGGGTTGCTTGGAGAAGTCGCGCAAATAGACGGGCGTGGCATCGCCGAATCGGGAGGCGGCCAATATGATTTGGCCATCGGTGGCGGCCATGTCGCGGTTGAAGAACGAGAGCAGTTTGCTGCGCGCCAGTTGAACATTAAATGAGAGTAAATTTCATTGGACTGGCTGACGTAGCTGCTCTCCACCCACGGCTCCCTCCTCGGTTTCGCTTCCGTTGCCGCTGCCGCTCGCTTTGCTCTCGTCCTCCTCCTCGGCTTCCAATTCCAACTCCAACTCGTTGGCGTTGATCTGATCCTCGAGAGCGCGCCGCTTGGCCAGCTCCTGTTGGCGCTGTCTCAACAACTGGGCCCCTCGGCTGCAGCAGGCGTGTGCGATGTCTTCGTCGGTGGGCGTGGAGGTGGCAGCTGGCGCCCCCGCTGGATGCGGCTGATACTGATTCTGGTTGTGGTGGTTCTGGTTCGTCAGCAGTCGCGTGGATGTCTGCAGAGCGTAACTGAGATACTGCATTCGGTTCGATTTACTCTCCACCCGCTGGCCACAGTGTGCGAATTCTTCTACAAGCTGCTGCTGCTCTCAGAATCTCTAGCTCTCCAGCAGTTTCGATGTCAGCCTTGGTAGTGTCCTTTATTTGATCTTTGAGTTCTGCAATAGAGATGATTTAAAGACGAAATGAATCAAAATTGCCCAAAAGAAATATAGTCCTATTGCAAAACAAACCAAACGGTAAGTATGGCAGTCGATTAATCGAGCTATCGATTTCCGGTATTTGCATATTTGGTATTTTTTACAATCAAAATAAAAACCCAAAGAAATCCCGCTTGCACCTCTGCCGCGCTGCTGCTGCTGCACGAATGGACATTAGTTGAATGAAATGTTGGTTACAATTTCCACTTTTGGCTCGAACTTAAAATATTTTCCCGTCTCTGCGGATCAGCAGAATCCGCATCAAGTTCTCACACTCGCAGGCGGACACACACACACACAAGCACAGCGCACGGACAGGGTGTTATTTATGAGGCCCATAAAGTAAGGAGACGAAGACGACGACGACGACGAAGACGAAGAAGAAGAAGACGGCAAAGTGCACAAAATGAAAACGCAAGCAGCAAAATGCACACATACATACATATAGAATAGACAAGACGACTGCGACAATGCCCCAAACATCCCATTAACAACATTATGGAGGAGGGGCAGGTGGAGAGGCGAGGCGAGGCGAGCGACAGGAGTCGATATGGCCATGGGCCAACAGAGACCGCTGAACCGACCAACAAATGGCAAGACATTAAAAGTACTTAAAGGATATTTGCATATTTTATGGCCAAACATAAATGTGGCTGATTACAAGAGTCCCCAAGAAGAGGACAGACATCTGCTATGCTGCCATGCAATGCAGATAGAAGCGGCAGATGTGTGCGCGGGCGGCGGTCTGTATTCCCCCCCGCCACCCGATCAATGTTGTGCCATTTGCATATGGCATACAGGTATTACTGGGATATGGCCAGATTCACTCCAGCAAATTAGTTGGCAATTAGCAAAGTGGCCGGGCCGTCGCATCAGCTGGCCAATTGACTTTGGCTTTCGGCCCGGAAGAGCATCCATCTTCTAATTAATTTTCCATTTGAACTGAAACGTGCGTCTGTGGCCCGTCTATAGCCGGTAGCGGCTACCACAGGAATAACGATGGTAACATCGGGAGCAGTTACAGCATCAGCGGCAGCGGCAGCAGCAGCTGCCGTAGTGCCCATAAAGCGACGTTTGCTCATAAAGCATTTAACGAGCCCTCGAGCCTTGGGGGCAACCAAAAACCAGATGCATCTGGAATTAATATTGGCTCATATAACCTGCAAAAATTTAGTTTGTCCGAAAAAGTTATTAAATCTTTTTTAGCCCCTGGCGTACAACCGCGACCATTAACAGGCAACGCGAAAAATTTCCTTAAGGCTGAAAATTTAATTGATTTTTTATGATTCGATTATCGCATACAACTCTGTGTTGGCCCCCAAGCAAGCCTAATCTAACCTCAAATGTTTGCTACACATTTCGCTACTCGTTTCCTTTTTATTTTGTATTTCTGTTTAGTGGATCTGCTTTCCAATTAATTGCCAGACAAAGGCTGAGACGCCAACACGGTCGGCAATTAATTTTCACCATGGAAAGTACCTTTTCCTGGACAGGAAAGCACATAGAGAGCGTCTAATACTTGGCAATTCTCACGCTCAACGTGGCCAAAAGCCTTTTGTAACTTATGTGGAAACGTGACATTTTCTCGGCTACTGGACAAAAATTGATGCCGCCGCCATCGTCTCGGAGTCTCGGCTGCCGAGCAGGAGAGGATTGGTATTGGTCCAGCAACAGCCATCGACCGACCGACCGGCCGACCGGCCGACCGACCGACTTGTTTCCTGGCTTGTACGTGTCTGGATTTTTTTCCTGCTCGTTTCTGTTTTATTGTTGCTGCTGTTCTTCTTTCCTTTACTCTCCTTTTTTGCTGCTGTTGTTGTTTGTAAGTTTTGATGTCACACAATGACACAGTTTCACGTGCGGAGTGCTCGTAATTTGTATTTGGCCTCGTCTCGCATTTACGTTGATCTCATCGAAAATGTCTTAATTAATTTGTGCGCTGAGGCGCCCCAACGGGAAAGTGGCACAACAGAGCAGAGCAGCCTGCCACTAGCCACCAGCCACCGACCGACCTGAAGATCCAAGCTGACAAAAAAAAGAAGGAAATACAGGCTGCAGAGGAAGGGAAGAAACCCACTTAATTTATGACTGGCACGACACATACTCGAAAGATGACTTCGCATGAAGCCCCACAAAAGGCTTACAATTTTTTGCAGACGCTTTTTTTTTTTGTTTTGCCTTTGCGGAATCCTTTTCAACATCCTGCTTGCCTGCCTGCCACAGTTTGATGGCCCCGAGTGTCGTCTGCCTGTTGCACTGTCTGCTACCAAGCCCCCGGGAGGAACTAGAGTCTACCCCAGGCGAAACACTTGAGCAAATGAAGCCCCCAAAGAGTCAATATGTGTAAGCGAGTGCTGCAGATCAGGGCAAAACAGGGAGAGTTATGCTTATGAAAGATATGTACACACATATGTATGTAACCCAAGACGCAGCCCGAGCACATAATGAGATACGCAACAGCTTCAAAAAATAAACCAAAAAGCAACAACAACTGCAAAAAGAAGAGAACGAAACGGAAAGCAGTTGGAAAGAAAAGAAAAGGAAGTGGACAAGAATAAACGACTAGTCGATACGCTGTAAAAGCATATCGATATTGATCAATAAAATACTTCTACTCGTTTCGCCATTTCACTATCGATGCATTCATAGAATATCGATATTAGTTTTGGGTTAATTTCTGGGATCAACAAGGGTCACACTATTGTCTTGTGCGCTCTTTAAACAACCGTTGCTACCGCCGCGCCCCGCGTAAAATGCGAAAAAGTGAATACTGTGTTTTTTTAATTGTGTCGAAATCCCGGACCAAATATAATAGCCTGGTGCTACCCTAGGGACACAGGCTGCAAGCGAAATAAAAGGAGTCGAAGGCAAGTGCGATAAAAGCAACGTCAAAAGGATTAGAGGGCTGTGCAGCTGTAAATCCACGTACGTATGTGGGCTTTTGCGAGTGTGCGGTTGTGTGTGTGTGTGTGTGTGTGCAAACAGAACATGTCTGCGCATAGGTGGGTGGCGTGACATGGCTTGACGTTGCCTTCGGCTTTTGTTTGTCCCGAACAAAAGCCAGAACTAGCAAAAGCGGGAAGAAAGGCACAGCGGCTGCCGGGCGGGGCAAAGGAAGTAGAAAAGGAAAAGTGTAAGGAGCACGACCTGCTTGTAAGCCAAAGAGCTCATAAAAGGAAACACCCATACATGTACACACATGCTGGCACCGAGCCCGAGTGTGGGTTCGTGGGTGCATGTGTGTGTGTGTGTGTGTCACATTAATCACACTAAAGAGTTTTACAAAATGCAACCCAACTCCGTCGCTGACTGCACCGAAAAGGAGAACCAACAGATTTTGTAGTGTAGTTGTAGTTGTAGCTGTAGCTGTAGCTTTTGCTGTTGTCACCACTTTAAGCTGCGGCTTAAAAATTCTGCGCCCGTCTCAGGGAAGCCGCTTAGGCAACGCCAACGAGCCACCCAAGGCGTTTTTTTTTGGAAGGTGAGGCATCTCAAGAGTGCGCTCCCCACAACAGGTGCCTATTTTGATCCAATTGCGTGACAAAGAGAGCGCGCGAGTGGGAAGTGTGCGAATGCACCTTGATATACCTCCTTCAGTGCTCTTCAATTATACTCCCCCTACAAGTCTTCACTCTCTCTTTGCACTAAAACCCTCTCCACTCAGCACTCACCACTCTCCGCCCTCCGCTCTTTGATATTCCTCCTGCATAAATGCACTATTCCTGCCAAGGCGACGCTTTTTATGCTTCTCTTTCTTCGTTTTTCTTTATTTGATTTCATTTCAGTTTTGTCAAGCATTTTTCTGTGGCGCAGAGGAGCACCTTCTTCAGCCAGAGCATCCACAGTGCTCCACTCCTTCCACTCTCGCAGCTCTCGATTCTCTCCGCTCCCACTCCGGCTCTCAGTCGCCTTATTATGCCGTTCTTAGCACTTTTGATTACTTTTTATCCGCTTTGGCCGCGGGTTTCATAGCTTACAGCTTTGTGGCTTATATTTATTCCCTATCCCACCCCACCTCCCTCTCTCGTTCTCTCTCTCTCTCTCTCGGCGTGACTAATGACGTGCCGGACCCTGGACAACGCTTGAGTTTGTTTAGTCGCCATCTCCCTTCCTCTACCCCTTCGCCCTATCCATCGTCGTGATGTAAATAAATGAAATAATATTCCCTTGCCTGGTTGTCCCGCCATGAAAAATTAACGCCGACTTTTCCATTCTTGAGTTGTCTTTTTTTGTTCGCTTTTATCTTCTATTTTTCTTTTTCTTTCATTTGTCAAGTGTGGAAATCGTTATTGTTGCTCGCGTTTTCTGCCACATGTAGGTGGGGCATCAGATCTACGATCCTTTGGAATTGGTAATAGAAAAGCGCAGTAAATTATCCCATTTAGAGTATTACCAGCTACGGTCTCGCCCCAAGCCAGGAATACTTATAGAGTTTTCCCCGCGAGAATGGTTTTCTTTTATCACAATTCTGCGGGAATATAAAAGTGTTCAAGTGTGTGTGTGTGTGTGTGTGTGTGTTAGCCAAGTCTCTCGACAGTTGGTATTTGAAATGCATTAATCACCAACATCCCATAAAAATCCTAGTGCTTTAACTGGACGAAAAACAAGATAAATAGCCCATAAATAGATTTTCCCCCAGACGTAAATGTGGATCGAATGACAGAATGACGGGGAGGGGGGTGGGGGGCAAATAAAAATGTACAGAATGATATATGTATGGAGGCAGGCATGCCCAGGGGGCGGTAAAGATATTCACTTAAGGAATTTCTCGAATGATTAACCAAAAAATAAAAAAAATTCCCATTCCAGTTGATGAAACGCAGTGCCCTCGATGGGGTTAAAACCAATGCGAAACAATGCGTATTCCATGGTCAATCGTTCCTCCATTCCCATTCATAGCCGTAAAATCGAAACTCTGGGAGAATACTCATCAGATAGTGCCCCCACACCCCCCACCACCCATGCAAAACTGGTATGTAAATGTTGTTTTGTTGTGGAACTATAGACATGGCCATCTGTTTATCATGCTATCATCAGATCTGTTATCAAACTGAATCAAATCAATGTAGAAACATATCCCACGTTCAGTCGTGCCTACATATAGCATCTATATTTGATTCCAAGCCAAAATCGAATGAACAATCACTGGAGACGCGCCCAATTCCTCAAAGTATCGACAGCGGGCGACTGGCAATTAAAATGCAAAGCCACAAAACCTCTCAAAGGGTACAAAAAAAAAAGCAAAAACAAAAAAAAGATTATTATCGTTGATGAGGAGCTGCCTTTGCGGATGATGTGTGGTTTTTTATTGAAATGTCGACATGCTTACTAATCAACAAAACAAAATGAAACACAACGAAACGGTCAAAGAGTGGGGAAATATGTAATCAAGAAGTACGAGTAGAACTTGTCATACATTTCGTTCTTTGGGGAGGGGGGGGCGGGGTTCTTTTTCTTTTGATTAATCATGCGCTGAATGCACAAACGACAGAGGTGGCATGCCACATACACAGGAAATCGAAACCGAAATGCAGCGACAGTTGGCTTCAAACTACAAATTTGGTACGAAAGAGACCGCTTAGCCCATTTAAGACCCCCTCCCGTTGTCGTCAAAGAACCGTTGGCTGGGGTTCTTGGACTCTCTCGAAAAGCTTCATTGAGCATTCATTCAATCGCTGACTTCTTTAATTTATGGCCTACGAGTGTTTATTGTTTGCATATTCGTTTGCTGCCGACACTTTTCTTCTTCTTTCCAGGGGTCGTTCTTATAGCAATGAAAGTTTTCGGTAAAGGGAAATCCCTTTTTTGGTTTGGGGCAGAGCCAGAGCCAGAGCCCCGTTTTGGCGTTTTCTAGGGCTGGGCCGTCTCTGGAACCGGGACTTGGGCTTGGCCCTCCATCCAGTGCGAGGATGGGCTCTCTATTGACCCAGAAAATGAGATACAATATGAAAATGTTGCGACCGCCTTTCTGTTTTGTTTTGTAAGTGAAATTTTGAAATGTCTCTCGAAAATATAATGATGTTTTCCATGCGTTGGCGTCGGCTTTGGCTTTGGCTTTGGCTTTGAGTGATGCGGGAATTGCATCTGCCTTAAGTTGGGGGACGGGGGAGCCCTCATTTCATGACACCGATAATGAATGGGTCTTAAAAAAGGTATTCTTTAGATTCTGGGGAAAAGCTGGGAAAAGGCAAAACGTTTTCTTTCGATGGGAAGTATTAGTTCTGAGATTCTTTGGGTATTAACAGGGTTATAGGGGTTATATGATTAGGGTTTTAACGTTTTTTAAAAAGGTATCTCAAGAACTGAATCATTTTAGCTTGTTTTTATCTATTATATCTCTTGGATTTGATTAAATCCAAAAACATTTACAATTTTCTTAAATTTTCGGCATTTTCAGAACTTCCGACTCTGAAATCTTTAACCCCAATCAAGGGCCCATTTGACCCAATTTTTCTACACCCAAATCGATTACATCAGTGCCCCAAATCATCAAAAACGATTCACCGATCAATGCGACACCCAAAACGAAATAAATCTCTCTTCCAACCAAAAAACACTTTATTAATATCCAAACCCATATTTAACCCAATTTCCAGAGCATGACGCTAATTGTATTTTAAATATTATTGGTACCTCCATGGCTTACCGTTCGCGTATGTCCACAGAAAAATCGAAATCCACGAAATTTGCCGTTAAATTTGACACTTTTGTTGTAGATTTATCAATTAACACACACAGACACACACACAGACAAAGACACAGCATGGAAGAGTGAGCATAGAAGAACAGAAGACAAACTCTTTTATTCCCTTTCTGGCGCTTTCGTTGTAAAATTTGTATTTCGTAATATTTGCTGTAAATTTCTTTTGTTTTGCTCCAAAAGAATTCATTTACTTTCACACTGTGACGAAACGCTGCGAAATTTGCATAAAAAACGAAACGAGTAAAAGAGTATCCGCTCTCGCGTTGTGTGGGTAGACGACGCGCACGCGCACAAATATCTCTCTTCGGGTTTTTTGCTTTGTTTTTTTTTTTGTTTTTGTTTTGCTTTGTTGCCTTGGCCTTTGAGCACCGTACACGCTAGAGAAACCGAACCGGTCGGAGCGACGTGCTCCAAGCTAATGAAAAGCCAAGTTCTGACTCTGAGCCGAGAACCAGAGCTCTAAGCCGCAAAGCCTCTGCCGCTGCCTCAGCCTCAGCCGGCTTCGCTGTTAGCTCGCTGTTAACAGAGCTCAACTCTGTTGCAAATGTTGCTCTGTGAGAAGCAGAGATTCTACCGATCCCATAGACAGATAGGGAATGCCCTCCCGGATAAACAGTTGTTTAATAGTTTTCTTTGAAATTTGACCATTTTTTTTTCTGGTGGCTGTTTGCTGAGAAATGCGACTCTTTCCCCCTCCCCCGACCATCTCTATTTTGTTTGTTGGTTAGCAGGTATTTAAATCTCATTAACATTGGTCCCTGGCTGCCCCCAGGCCTCATTTCTCTCTCTCTCTCTGTGTGTGTGTCACCTTTCTGTGACTCTTTCTCTGCTTTGCCCTGTGGTGTGGTGCGTGTGAATCTTTTATGGTTCATTAAAATTAAAAGCAGAGTTTTGCCTTATTCTCTCAGTATATTTATAGCGGCCGATTGGCATTTCGTCCGACTGTGGGAGAATTCCCCAATGACACCCCCCTAAACAGTTATGGGCCATGAAAGAACCATCAGCTGTCCCATGAAAATGATATCAAATTATATTTATCCCCGTGCGTCTCTCTTTGGCATACATTTTTGTTCAGTGTAGAACGATGTTCTGGGAGAGAGAGAAACTGTCACAGTCATGATTTACGATAACTTAACTCAAGAATATTCAATCACAGAGCACACTCCTACCTCCTCCCTCCCCCTACCCCGCCCGAACAGCAACCTTTTTTTCAAAAATGCCGCAAGGCCAGAGCCATCAAAAGACTCGTAAAAAAGGCAAAACCATGAAATATGAGCACAAATTATGAACAGACATCACGTCAAAGGATTAACAAGACCACAAAGATCTTTCTTGGTGTTTTTTATGTTTTATTTTTTATGTATATTGCTGGAATTTCAAGGAAGTCCAGCCCGGGTCCGGCTTCGGCTTTGGCTTCGGACCAACCACGTGATAAACATCTAACAAAGTTGGCTTTAACTCCTTTGCTGGGCGCGTTAAATGGTCAACACCCCAGAAATGTGGGCAAAAGGGCCCTTTGAAGTCGCCTCTTTTAAATGCAGATGATGTGCGTTGATTAAATATTGCTTTTTAATTTCTTTTATGCGCAAATGCATAGGAAAAGATTTGATTTGTTGTTTGGGAATGCCGGGCACGTAACGCTGGATAATAAAAAAAAAAAAACAAAACAAAAGGAACACTAATAATATAGTGGGAATAGAAGGGTGGCTTTGGCCGAGAGACCAACTAGAGGAATACCCTATAGAAGGCAGAACTCCAGTAATAGGAAGGCTATTTCATTCGTTTCCTTTAACTATCTATATGCTATCTGTATTTTTACATGTTTAAGGCAGATACCCTTCTCCTCTGTTGAAGAAGCCCGAAGAAGCAAAGGCGTGGCCCTCACACGGAGACGAAGCGAATGAAAGGGGGTAGGGGTGTGGGGTGGGGAGCCCTCTTTCTTGGCACTCTCTTATCAAATCAAGTTTGTTGCCTCGGTCTTTCGTCGTTCCTCTTTCCGCTGTGTTCTTATCAAATTTGTGGAAATCATTCGTGCTTATAACGGTTAGGGGGAGGGGTAAGGGTAAGGGTAAGGGGAGGGGGATTTATCAGGAAACGGTTGTTGTCGGCAGATTTGCATAACACACACACACACACACAAAGAGAGAGAGAGAGAGAGACAAGGAAATAAATCTGCAAGCATTTTGCGTCTTTGTGCGTGCGCCCACACACTGCAGATCGTCATCAACATCAGTCTCTCTCCGCTCTCCGCTCTCCCCCACCACGCTCTTGCACTCATGCAAATGAAGCAGAGCAAAGGGGAGAGAAAGAGAGAGAGAGAGAGACGCAGACTGCGATCTAAAATTAGCTGCAACTTTTGTTAGGCTTCACCGACTTTGCCTGCACTTTGTCTCCTTTCCTCTTCCTCTTCCTCTTTTGCCCTGCCTTTCTTTGGAAAGCTTCGCCGTCCGCCCGTTGATTGATTGCCGTGGGCCGTGGGCCTACTGCAGATGCGGGCCGGGTCTTCCCTCTGGTGCGGGCCTAACCTTTGTGCACTCTCTTGCCCCTCTCTCTCCTTCTCCTTCTCCGTATCCATCTCCACTCTTTATCTTTGCTTTACATTCGACTGCGGCGGGGTTTCGGCTCTTTGCGTTTTACGCTTAATTTGGCTTTGATTGATGTTTTTACTGTTGGATTCAAACGAAAACTTAGTTAGTGCGGGGCGGGGTTCAGTGAACTTTCGAGCGCGCCACTGCATTGCCGCTGAAGCTTTTGAGCGCTTGAAAGCTTTCGGGCGAGGGCCCGTCGGGAAAGCAGCTGTTCCCTTCACCGACGCCCACGCTCATTATTTTCATAACTCTGGACATTCTTGGCGGCTCTGAATGTGTCTCCCGGTCGCTGTGGTGCCACCACACGTTTATTTATCAACCGAACAGCTGACCCACTTTGCCGCTGGAACTGTTGACTGCCCTTTTGTGATTTGGACACAGGTTGGCAAGCAATTAATTACATTACGACCCGAACAAGCCGACTCTGAGGCCCAGTACAGTACAATGAAATTGTTAACAGGCTCCAAAGTCAGGCGTCAATCAATCAGCCAACATTTTGGCCCCAGTCAATGGCCTCTCTCGCGGTGGAACTAGGTGGGGGGTGGGGGGAATGGGAGTCCGACTTCACGCTCCAGGTGCCATTATCATTATTTATTTGGTGCGACAAACGTTTCGCCTCCAATTAGGGCAAGAAACGCGAACATTTTTCATTCTCCACGGGAACAGGAATGAGAAATGGTGGAAGAGGAGGAGGAGGAGGAGGAGGAGGAACATCTGAAAGTTGCCAATTTGGCTTTCGTTTTCGGTTCACTTATGGCCTCGTATAGCCATTGGGTGAAAAGTTCTCATGTGACTTTCGGTTCTACGACAGTCGTTAGACATATTTCATCCCATCTCCCATAGCCCTCTCTCTCTCTCTCTCTCTCTCTCTGTCTCTCTGTGAGAGCCTTAATAGGGCTGGAACAATGCCCTGTTATGGTTTCCCGGTAACAAGGATGATGGCAGTCTGAAAGGTGGATTTCGTATTCAAATGCGAGCAAACATGACCAGCATCCGCATCCTCCAAAAGAACAAGGAAAAAACCAAGGGCAGGCTCCACAAAACAAATACAAATTCGCAATAAAACTAAGAAGGCCAAAACGGAGCATTACGACTACAAAGATACCCATTAGAAAATAGAACTACCCCAAGGCTTTCATACATACATAGGGTTTTTTTTTGTTGATTGTGAGAATCTTTCGACTCAGATCATGAATATACCTTTGGCTCTTACAGCGGGGTATCACCAGAACTAAATCCTCCAGCAAAATAAACAAACGAAACGAAGCAACGACTTTTGGCATCACGTTTCACGAATTCGCAGCAGAACACGCCGCCTTCTGACTCCGATTCGCGGACTCCCGTCTCCTATTCCGACTTCTCGGCTGGCACATTAAAAGAAAACAAAAGCAGAGAAACACCCAAAAAGAAGAGCGAGAGAGGAATAGAGAGCCAAAGCAATAAGTAAAAGTTGCTGCCAGAAACAGAAGAGGAAGGGCGAAGGAGAAGGAGAAGGAGAGGAAGAGGCTGCCGCGAAGCATCTCTCTGTAATGTATGCTGCTCCTCGACGCGATTCATTGTTTCCCCACCCTCCATCGCCCCCTCAGCCACTCTTCTTCTTACTCTGGTGCAGGCTCCCTCCCCCCTCCCTGGCATGATCAGCAGTTTTGCACGCGCTCACGTTTGGGAGCAGCTATAAAACAGAAATATTGAGAGGAAAAAAATAGGAGTATTAAGAATAGAAGAAATATCTTTGGAAATATTTTGTTGGTGACTTACAAATGCTCTTGCAATGGCAGCGGTAACAAAATTTATACATAAGTGGAAAAGAGAGAGAGCGCAGATGTGGCGAAGCTTTCCCGAAGCTCATTTGTAGAGAGAGCGACAAGGAGGTGCGCTTACACACGTTCAACTGAGAGCGCTTTGGTGACAGAGAGAGAGAGCAGATCGTTCTTGCTGTTCTTGCGTGAGCGGTGCTCTCTCTCTGGCAATGGAACGACAAAGAGAGAGAAGAGCAAGCAAAAGTCGAGAGGGATTTTGCTGGAATTGTTTTTCCTTTTTTTTTTTTTTGTAAAGCACATCCACTCGGCGACTTGTTCTTGAGCCGTTTCTCTTGATTTTTAATTTCTCTGCTGGATAAAGTGAAAATTCCTTATTGGCACTCCCCCCCGCCCCCTCTCCCTGCTGCCTTTTGTGTATTCACTTTTTTGTTTTTTTTTTGTCGCCTTTCATTTCATGACATTTTGGCTGTCATGCACTTCCTTTTCCTTTTCTGCTAATTTATCGTTTTGCGAAGGAGGTATGTGCATGCATGGACGTCTCTCTCTCTCTCTCTGTCTCTTTCGCTCTCTGTCCTTTGACTGTTCTGGTTTTGCTGCTCTTCTCGTGTGGCAGCTACTGACTGCAACTGCAGTTGCATTCTTATCGAAACCGCACAATCAGCAGTCGCCGGAGAGTTAGGCCGGAGAGGGGCTGGCAGCAAGGAAAAAGGCAATCACTGGCAATGATGATGCTGCTGCTGCTGCAGTTGCGGATGTGGATGTGCATGCGGATGCGGATGAGTGCAAAAGTTAAAATTTCAAAACAAATAAATTCAAGCTGCAGGCTAAAAAGGGCAGCCCCAAATCGACAGAGAACCCTGCCTTTGCCTCTCACTCCCTCTCACTCTCTCTCTCTCTCTCTCTCTCTAAAGTCTAAGCAAACAAATCAAGGAGCAACAGAGACACCAGCTGTGGACTCTTTTTAGCCTGGGGCTTCAACGAAATGGGGCTTGACTTCAATTGTTCTCCGGCTGCTGCTCCCCCTGCTGTTGGG